TTAAGGAAACTGGTCCGGCACATAGTCGAAGGTGAACCTATATCAGATTCATAGCATTTTTTCCGATTTTAAAATGAATTTCAAAAATTCTAAAATCCATTTTAAAATTATGGGGGAAGTGTTATTACCATGAAATTGGTTCACTTTCGACTTTATGGCCATGTGTCTTTTACAGCAAAGTTTCAAGAAGATCGGGTAATATGTAACCAGACTTTTTGGTACACAACAATGCATTTAAACTTTTCGCCCATTTTAGTTCGCCACATCTCGGCAACCGGATGTTGCGCGCGCAAACAGTTTTCAGAACAATAAATAAGTACAAATCATATCTTAGCTTTAAAAGGACGTAAAGTATTAAAAAAAAGTGATTCGGAGTGCGCGTAAGCGAAAGTTTTAGTGTATCTTATTTTAGTGTATCCTACAGTATTTTTGACACTATGTACCAAGCCATTTTCCTTAAGTTACTGTACCGTTAACAACTTAACGTCAATAGCCGAATCTAGGCGTACCAAAGGAAACAAACAGCCAGATCGTTCTATCCTCTTGTAGTGTTACAGTAGCCATCTGTTGCGAGCCTCTTGACACCTCAGAAGTCTTCTGAGATTTTTAGAATGGATTTAACCGGCTGTCTACAGGTGCCTAATGCCTACCCCCTACCGCGATGCATATTGTAGAGGTATTCCCTGACTCCTGCTGGGTACTCTGCATGTGCAAATCGGTAATCTCTGTGGTGTTTTAGTTTTTAGATTGCGTACAAGGTGTCATTGTTGTACGATTATATGTATGGCCGTACCGTGGTTCTGCTGGGTGCTATGCCTGTGCACACCTGTAGACACCCTCTAGTACTTAATCAGTGTGACGCTATGTAGACATGGTAGACATCGTGTGCTGGCAGTGTCTACGTGGTGTCACGGCTGTGGAAACTGCTAAAAATTTTAGTTCATGCCGGCAGGAGCCTTACTTGTAGACACATGCAGACTTCTGCAGATATGCAGTAAGTTGCCAGTAACCGTTACCACAGGTGTTACGGCCGCGAGTACCGTTTGTTTACAGACTGTTTACAGTCTACGGACGACTACCGTAATTATACTAAGAAAAAAGTTCCAGTTTTTTCCTTTGGTACGAAACGATCCATAATATTATGGAATGCCATGTGTGGCGTAGTGTAGTGGCACTACGTCACGAGATACTGTGTCCGCTGTGACCTGTGTGTCCAGCATGGCAACTGCGGAAGCAGTGTGCCTGTGTTGCTATGTTGCCGATAATTAGTTGGTTTTGTGCGCCCTCAGTGGCGGGTTAATATTAAAGATATTACGCCACCTTCAAGTCGTGACAACTTGGCGTGAAGGATAGTAGTAATGGCGGTAGATATGTGAGAGTGTACACTGCGGTTACTGCCTGAATCATGCTGACGAGGAGCGAGGGGCGAGGGAGAGGCACATCAACTCCATCCATCGGATGTAAAGCGTGGAGTACTGGGAACGAGCGCTTGAATCGTGGATGGGATCCACGAGGGAAAGCAGGGCGGGAGGAGAAGTGCCGCTCCTGTGGAGGCAGCTGGGAAAACCGCGTGTGTGTGGCGGACGAGTACCATGCTTCTGGAAGGCCCGTGACCATGAAGCGTCTGCTTAAGGCTGCCCAGCCAGGGAAGAGAACTCGTTTCGGCGGCACACCAGGAGAAAAGGGCGAAGCCTGGAGACCGATGGTTCCTTCATGGCAGAGGGGTGAGCGAAGCAGAACCGTGAGTGAGAGTGAATTTGAGAAGGTGAAGACGCCAGTGACGATGGCAGTGCCAAGGCAGACCGGAGTACCAGAGTGGGGAAAGCGTCATGCGAAGAGTGCTGTAAGAGGATCCAGTGTGAGTGAGTTTGACCTTCGCCAGCAAGGGAGAATTAGCGAGTTGTACGTACGAAGGACGCTATGGCAGGTTGAGTGAATAAGTGTGTTTTAATGCGCAAAATGGAAAATAATGTTCGTTGCTAAGATAATTCGGTGATTGTATCTGTACGTACGTGTTTTGACTAGTATAAATATGGATTTGTACTTCTTCATGTGTACTTCAGAAGTGAAGGGCGTGTGGCGTAGTGTAGTGGCACTACGTCACGAGATACTGTGTCCGCTGTGACCTGTGTGTCCAGCATGGCAACTGCGGAAGCAGTGTGCCTGTGTTGCTATGTTGCCGATAATTAGTTGGTTTTGTGCGCCCTCAGTGGCGGGTTAATATTAAAGATATTACGCCACCTTCAAGTCGTGACACCATGCTTGTCTGCTACTGCGAGCACGCTAATAAAGTTAGGGTTAGTGGACATAGCAACCATGTGTACATTTCATTACAGGTGGCGATTTATTGCCGATGCGAGAGTATCAACGCCTTTCCAACGTCTACGCCGTCAGCACTGTAAGTGTTCCTTCGCTGTCCATGATTGCATGTATTTGTAACAGGCGCCTGGATACTTCTCAAAATTAGGCATAACCGCCACGATTATGAAAGTGTAAGTACAACGATCAGGCCGACCATGGGAAGATGTTGGACTCCATCCACCGCAGCCGATTACCTACCGCTACCCTTATATCAAAGAATTACAGTTTGCATTTGATTAAAAATTAAGGATAACATCGTTTCGTTTGGAAGAAACGCCAAGCACCTACAACCGTAGCGCATGGAAGATTTTGGTTTTTGGCGCCTTTTTGGCCCCAAAACTATGGAATGGTTTGTCGCATGTACAGTATCACATCTTACAGACTGTACTACAGCAACATTTCCAGTTTCCACTACACGGTATGGTCTCGTCTTACAATTACCGTCTATGCCAAATTTCGGTATTTTATTTATAAGAAACCGTTATAAGCACCCAACCGAAAGCGATATGCGGGATGATATATGCGGGATGCGATATGCGGGATTGGAGGTAACTCTTTTCGCACCCCGTTTATTGCAGGCACTCATCGTCGTAAATGGATGATACAATCATACGAACTTTCGGGTTATCTAGAAGTACATGCTCTTATACGCTCTCGCATTTTTATTTCAAAACTTCACTTAAACACGTTTTAAGAACATTTAAAGAAACAAAAGTTCATTAAACATTTCCGCTCTCTCAACGGTACCCATAACAGAAGGGGCGTTACCCCGCTGTATCTCTAGAGACAGTCGCTGCCGGAGAAATTCGTGTGAGCCGGCTTCTCCTGAATGAGTCCGTAGACGCTTTCCCAATTCTTTTATAATGACGATTTATGATGCTCTTTTTCCAACTGATCATTATTTTACAACTAAAATCTCAGCAAGCTATATATGAAAAATTAAAATCTCGTTGAAAAAACCGATCGTAATGACTAATGACCAAGTCAGAGATCGTGGTTTCGTCCCGCTAGTTAGCTTGAGCGAAGCGGACGAAATGACGCCCTTGTAAACTAGCGCCGGTCTTATGCAAAAAAAAATCCAGGAAAGGCCAGTCCGCTATCGGGACCAGTTACGCTTCAAGACAAGTAAAATCATCCCGTATATCGATCACTTCCGGTGACCGCAACGGTCAGCTGACAATATTCTCAGCAACACAGCAGATTAACTCAAAACCATTAGCCCTGGTGAAAAGGGCAGTCGTAATTATGTTATTTTATGCCGCTATACCTTCACAGCAACAGTTTGGCCGACATTATAGCGTTTGGGCAGATGCTGTATGATTCAGACTCGAGCTCACGAAATCATCGGTTTTTTCATATACAATGTCATACTACTCCATATGTCCATGCAGAACACCCAGGAAATGTACAGTTTTCGCAGATTCAGGCAACGTTGTCAGAATTATGTTCTTAATCTGGAAGCACAGAAATCCTGTTGTGTTAAAATAATTCAGACAAAAACCTTTACAGAAGTTTAGGTGCTATTAAATATTAATTTATATTATCTTGAAAGTTAACTACGTAACGAAGGTGCGCGCGGAGCGCGAAAGGGGGTGCCTGTAAGGGTATACCCATATTTATATGCAGACATGGAATCACTTTCATCAGATTTTACAGTTTCCTAATACAAAGTATACATTACGCAGTTGATCAATATACTAATTATTGATTTTGTTCTAATAAAACACTCCCAAAATACAAATTTTTCTGCATTTGCAACTAACGACAACGCCATGCAAGAGAAGTTAAGGATAATATCATCGAAGCAAAGGATAACATACGTAATATCACTGAACGAAACTGGATGTTACAGAAAATAAATTTTACCTGCCTTTATCCTTCGTCATTCACATTATCTTATGATTGTGTGTAATAAATGTGTGAATGCACGCATGGCTGCCGCCGCACAGGAAGGATTATTATGTTGGTTCAGTGAATTGAAAGCATCAGTAAATTTAATTGATTATACAGGTATAGCAACCAGTACAGGAATAAACGCACCTTGACCTTGCATTTTTTTTTCACGAGATCCGGATCGTAATTAGCTGTCATTGATTCTTGGGCATTCGGTACATAATGTTGTCTCGGAAAATGCCTCTAGAATTAACTTCCGGTTTGTGCTTTCGCACAAGTAAAGCCTTTCAATGTGTCACGTTCCATTCTGCCAGTCAAGCGCGCTTGCTCCCTGGAAAAGAGCCTGCTGCTCCGGGAGTCTGGTTAATGCAGTTCCGGAGTTAGACATGACTATTTGATTGCTACTGTAGCGCTACTCTTTGCCGAGACATCTCGCTGCTCAGCACAATACTGTATTCGCTCGCACATCTTGGACCACAGAGTGTGTGTACGGGAAAAACGCGCATTCAATATACACACTCTAACCGGGCCAAACGCGCGATTCGCGATTTGATAAATTTCTGATGTCTTACAACATCTGGACTGGAGAACTTCTTGAATAATGAAAAAAATTAGAGCTCTAACAATTTTTATCATGTTTAGGCTCGAAAGCAGCCATTAACATACAGCTTTGGCGTAAGCACGAGTTACAAACGGATTTTGTTGTGGTTTTTGGGGTGCCCCTGGAGGGGAGGGGTACGTTCCGCGTCAACATTCTTGATGGCGATGAACCACCGAACAATGCGAGCTTTCAGCTACAGAACCTTTTTTTCCAGAGTGAATTGCCATTTAAATGAAAAGACTTGATTTAATAAACAAAAATTCACAAGAAGAACTGTTCATCTTGAAACCAAATGAGGAATATTTCGTAGTCGTGCATTTTGCCCGGTTAGAGTGTGTATATTAAATGCGTGTTTTTCCCGTACACGGACTCTGTGGTTCAAGATGTGCGAGCGGATACAGTATTATGTTGGCTAAATCAAATAAGCCGCATTATAATATATCCTCAAGTGCCTACTCCAGATTTCGATCGGGTGGCACACATTAAGCTCCAAAATGGACAATACAACTGTCAACAATTCAACGGTCTCTGTTAGTTCCCCACTAGTTCTCGCGGCAGCAGCACGGAAATGGACGCCATCTCTGATTGGCCAAGGAGTCATTTTGGCTCTATCCCTTTTCTCCAACATTATCGTATTCATCGAATTCATCCGCATCCCGTCCCGCGTAACACCATTTACTGTTTATCTCCTCGTTTTACTTGGAACAAACGTGGCCTTCCTCTGCATCGTCCCGTTGACCGAGATGCTGAACGAATTGTACGGCCAGTGGTGGATGGGACGAGCGTGGTGTGATGTCCACAACTACTTCAACAACGTCGTTTCCGGCGCTCAGATCTGCGTCCACATGACCATCTCCATTAACCGTCTGTGGGCCGTGCATCATCCGATCTCTTACAGAAACAAGCATAATAAAACGGTGGCGCTGCTGACATGTCTGGTGGCGATAGCCTTTGCTAACATTGTTGGACTGCCCGGTGTCATTCTGGATGTGTTGTATTATTCCATCGATTTGAAATACGGCTGTCACATTAATTATACCGCACAAGCTGCCTGGGGCAAAGCTCAGCAAGCACTGCTGCATCTTTTTCCGTGGGCAGTGATTATCGTCTCTTATGTGCACCTCTGCATCAATCGGGTTAACCGGCGCCGTAGGACACAGGATCAGATGAGCCACGATTCTCAGAAAGCGGCGATTGTGTCGACCACACCGGAACACCGGCCGGTTGTATTGAGACAGAACGAAGCGGTGAAACCGTTCCTGGTACTGTCGTTAACCGCCATCAGCGTCACAATCTGCTGGACACCGGCGATTATTTACTTTGCGGCGATCATCTTTTTTGGACTGTGGATGCCGGCAACGTTCTTTATTGCGGCAGTGACCTTCTACTCCATGCAGGCTTTATTCGATCCGTGGTTGTTTGCATTGGGTCTATTTGCCGTCAAGAAAAACTGGAGATTCCTGCATTGTTGCAACTGATGAAAATTTGAAAAATCGAAAAAGAGAATAAATAGTTCTTTTGCGCAGATCGGTCTTGTGCAAGTAATTAATTACGTATGCTTTTATTGGTGGCGCTCGCGAGAAACGTGGCAGCAGTACCAAGCAGATGCAACAATAAAACGGCTGCAGCTCGTGAACCACGGCTGTGTTATCTTCTTGGAATACCTTTTCTACTTTGATAAGTCATTGATAGCCGAATACTAGTGATGTATAGTTGGCTATCTCCACTTTTGCAAGTACTGTACGTACTTACTAAAATCTCGTCCTCAGTGGCTTGCGTCGATAATACGATTATTGACTCATAAAGCTTGTAAACATTCTGTGTTTTTGTTTAATGGTAAGGTTTAGGATTTTTGTTTCTGACGTTTTTCTAGAAAACAGTGTTCAAAAAATAGTTTCACTGTTCAAATATATGCTGTTTTTTTCCGTATCGACCTCGTTTCTTCAGTATTATTGTCGTTTAAATATATGTTTAAAATGGCGGACAGTGATCATGATAATTCGTTCAGCGAAGACGATGAATTGCTACAGTACGACGTGATAAGTGCAGAGGAAAGCGATTCGCCAGACATGACAGACTGTAAGATCTACAGCTTCACAAAACGCAGTACCCAGATAAAAGGTTTTAAGGGACTTCCTTGATAAGTAGTTTTTCATGCTGTTATTGCTGGTTTTCACGTCTTCCGATTATTATTTATGTAGGTTCTTCGGGTACATGTATTTACCATGTATCTAAGGCGCTTCATGTGAGTACATACTTACCGCGACCATGCGCGCGCTAACCAAGTTCGATCTCCATGAAAACTCAAATCCCAACACGCTTTTAGGATCATACCACCGGTTTGGATCCTGTAAATAGGTAAGCATGGTATATTTACAGCATATTTTGCACATAAAAGTTGTCTACTCAGCGAGACCGCTGTGACAGATCGAGCTCTTGGAAAATGTTTTCTTGTTTGGTATCTGCACAGCCAGATCAAATGATACTAGTATTTGAGTTGGATTGCTAACGTTTAAGGAATCTCAGAAGATTTCACATAAAACACTATTTTACTTATTCCTAGATACCTGATAGAGGGAAAAAAACGAGAACAAGTGAGCAGCTCTACGGAGTTTTTGTCAATGATAGCGTTTCACATTTTGTCCCGCAGATTAAGTTAATAACATTTTTTTCAGTATATGAGGTTATAAGAATATGTTTTGCTAGACAGCCTGTAGTTTATAGAGGAGAAATTGATTTGTCGCTTGACTCTTTTCAGGCCGAATGCAGCTCCAGTTTCAACCCTATAGCATCCGGTGGACTTGATTCTCATGTGCCGATTCCTTCTGGTGCCCTCACCGCTAGTGTAATATATTATTATGTGGTCGACTGTCTTTTCACTTAAATTTTCCTCTGGTATTACTAATACGTAATTTTAATGTTGTTCTCCAGCTTACAACAGAGGCCGCACGTACCGTGAAAGTAATCAACAGGATCAACAAAATCATTGCTCCGGTAACCGTCGCCATCGATATGGCGCGAACCGGCTACGCAGTTTATGAAGACGCCAACAATGGGACCAGCAGGAATACGGTGGAGACGGTCACCAGTATAACCGCAGGATGGGCGGGTGGCTTCGGAGGTCAGAACGTAACCGTTGTTTTCTTTTATGAAAGCGTCTCTCGAAATTTACTGTTGGTTGAGACGAAATGCATAACCAGTCTATTTTATTTGATCTGGTTACATTAACAGTAAACATTCAAAAACTACTATGACATCGTTGACATGTGCATTATTGTGCACTTACTATGGAACATCTGTATGACTGTGAATTTGCATACAGGGTCGGCTGCTGGAGCGGTTATAGGCAGCGCCATCGTGCCCGGACTCGGTGCGGTTGCGGGCGGTCTCATTGGAGCGTTTTCTGGTGGATTTGGAGGTGCTTTTGGCTCAGCAGCACTGGTCAACCTTATTGGGGACGCGTGTGACTACGATATGATTATGAGACATTGTGTGCGGTGCGGCATAGAATTCTGCATCAGAATCTATTTGGGCGACAATAAAAGCTGGGTCTTGTGCGAAAATTGTCGCACAAGACTAAGATAGGACAAGCACGCCTGTTTCGCATGCATGCCGCCTATGAATGTCGTCTGCGAGTAGGCATGCAGTAGTCCACGCGTACGGCTTGCGGAATGTCCACGAGGCTGTGATGTGGATTGCTGCGAGAAATATTAGGTTCGAATCTGATAATACTGTTTTATGGTGCACTGCTTTTCACCAATTAAAAAAGAAAAAACTTCAAAAACACAGGTGGATGGTAACATCGGCGTGTACTTAGTTATACTGTATATGTATATAGTTATATGAATACTAATTATCTGTGCCAGGATTTCGGCCCCTCTCATTCGGCGCCGGTGATCTCTGCTTCTGCTCATCCAATTTTTCTACTTCAAAATGCGTTAGAAACCTCTCCATCATGCGGGTGTTCTGAGACCAGTTATTGCTTGCTGTCTGCAGAACCTCATGACCAGTGGTCACTTTAAAGCTTGTTACCATGGATGCCATAAGGCTGACAAGGGCCGGTGCTCGCTCTAGGGAAACAGCTTATTTCTAACGATGTTGCAACATACTGCATGATTTAACGGCAACAAAATTCTAAAAATAGTCGCAAGCCAATATTCATCCGTGCTCAGCTTGTATATAATTATTCTTTGATTTGCTTGCTCATTGCGACGCTTGGACAATGCTGGGCAAAATTCGCCGGGCGAAATGGGCAAAGGCGACATTTACACACCCACTGATTTTTGCGCCATACTGAGCAATTTATTGACAGCATGGGTGCCGCAAAGCAATTATTTTAATTCGAGCCTTACTATGAAAAAAGCATTTATCATCGCGAATAGAGATGCTGCAGTACAAATGAACAACGGGAATGACGTCGGTAACGTATTCATGTCTAACGGCGGAAACAACTTTGCAGTAACTATACAAAGCAATCTGCGTAACAGAACCGCACAATTTTCAAAACCGATCTTTGAAAAAATTTATCAAGCATGGTAATCTATAATTTACAGGAAACACGGTTCTATGAATGCAGTAACGAATTAAAGCTATAAATACGTAAAACAATAAATGCGATCTTACAGAAAGTCATGTTTAACAAGTTAAAAGACGTCTATGATTGTAATTACTTACACAAATCAAGGAAGAATGGCTAGTTATTAGAGCAGTTTGCGAAATTCCTTCTGAATTCTTGCAGATCCGTCTCCAATTCTGAGCAATATGCTGCACCTGCCATTATAGGTTGGCAATTGTAGTTAATCGGTTGACGTCCATCCAGAAATCCTATAAAACCACGCATCTATCAAATCGTTGCAGTCAGTCAGCTCCTTGGTGTGTATGTTGCAACCATTCGAGTCCCGGCAAACTGACGTGACCTCGAACATGGCCATGGCTTTGCAGTATTTTTCTGCCGCGATCATACTAGTCGCTATATTCTGCACATATCCATCTAAGTCGTCTGCGTGGTTAATCGGAGACTCGGCTCCCAGGTGGAACTACTGGAAGGAACAGCAAGAAGCGGCGGATGCTCCCCCCGTGGCACCAGACGTGACACCAGTCGCTCAACAGGTTAAATCCTAATTTATGGCAGTAACCCGTTTATCCACTAAGTTTTCCAGTTTTATATACTTTTCGCATACAATGCCTGCCTTTCGCCTTTCGTTGACGAATAATGACCGGCTGTAAAATTTTTTTGTGCTGCAGTTTCCAGTAAGCACAGGTGACCTTTCTACTACCATTCTCTGTCGGCCGTTCTATCGCAGCAGTGTGAGCAAAAGGTCTGACGGTTCCACACTGAATCCAGAAAACATCTATGGACTTCTCAGAAATAAACGCATGTTTGTCCCGCCACATTGGTATTTTCCAAATGAAGGTAATCGGTTGCATACAATCGTTTATTTGTCCATGCTGAAGTTTTTGTCACTTGCGTCCAGTTGATCATGTGCATTATAGATGTCACAATCAGCAGTGAAACTGAGGACGATATTCAGAAACGCAGTTTGGATAATCGAGTGCGACGGATAAAGCTTTGCGGAAAATGGATGCAACGAAATGGTGTGCCCGGTAAATAGCAGGATCAAGACAATTATTGATGTATTTCCGTGTGACCTTTATTGATGTACGTCCACAACCCACAAACCGTGCAATGGCAAATAGCCGACGGAATTCTGATAGTCCCTGTCAACAGAAGGCACTTCTCTATACTTTCCCACCATTCACCATGCTCTATAATTCCCGCTACTTTTCACCTAAACCGAACGCCCTCGATATCCTTTTAACTTCACATCTTTCTGATGTGTATGCCGACTCCGCACACTTTTACGAGTTACTCCACGTTACGCAGTAACTCGTAGAGCGATTATAACACTATTTCAACATTTGAATAGCTACTCCTACTGCAATCAGTAATGTTTCTATACACGCCTATATACGAGTATGATGTGCAATTACTTATGGTTAGTGCCTGTGCACTGTGCTTGTCGACCCCAGCTAGGACGTTAACCGGTGCATGCATTATGATCAGAAATGTACTTAGAAGTCCCGTAATCCTTGCTTTGTCCAAATTTACCCAGCTATCGGCATTGTACCAGCGAAGGCGAATGTTCAATCGGTAGAACGAGCGTTAGAAAGTTGATCATGATTAAAGTTGAATGTAACCTGCAACCTAGGAATACTGTATAGTGTATACACAGAAGCCGATGGTAAAGTGTCCATCGCAATTAGTCATGAATCGAATGTAAACGGCAATCTCATTACAATTAGTTAGTAGCACCATAGTGAAAAGATATATATACTGCAGAACCGTAGTGCAGTCGATGATACCGACCGTGTTATTAATTTTAACTTATTTCTCAAGCACCGGTGTAAAGCATACTTACGTATAAGCGTACGCATTTGGCTACTTGCATACTTACGCATTAGGCTACTTGCATACTTCTGTTTACGCGGTACTATTCAATAAAATTATGACATGATTGTAAGCCGGAAGAAAACCGGCGTCATAATTAAACCAGAGAGCCTGATTAAAGCTATTTTTCAATCCGTGTTGCTTTATGAGGTACTGTAAGTACATCTGTACAAGGAATACTTTATCGGGCTTTATAACTTCAGCAGCCTTATAAGAACTATTTTTCGCAACCTGTGTATGAATTATGATGTACCCTTCTTAATGTACTGGATTGTAATTTTTTCATTGTGAATAATTTTAGCATAGAGGGCGTTTATAGTCATAGAACTGTCGGTAAGTATATCCAACAATATGAAGCGAACTAAAGTACATTTTTCACCACGATCAAGAGATTCTGGTGTACCGGAAGTGAATGCGCAGTTTTGGACCGCAACCAGAGGCGGTACTGGACTTGCATTTCTTTGATTTTTCTGCTGTTGAGGATATTGTGAAAACTGTTTCTTCGATAACCACCACACATAATAACTAGATTTCTTGGAACAGCGACAAAGTTCGCGCTAGAGATGTTTGCTTCTTTCTTCTGGTCAGCTCAAAATTACTACTCAGTAAAACTAGGACGATCCAGCGCAGACCAAAAGACAAGCAAAAAGATTTATGTTTACGACCATACCAACCGTGAAACATACTGTAATCAGTAAAACATGTATATAATAATTATAATAATGCGGCCGCAAAAATAATGCCATATTTTTACATATTGTAAAAACAAATACAAGAAAACACAATTAATACAATGTAATAATACCAATTTTTTGCATTAACAGGTGTTTACAATAAACGTGACTCAGGCGCTTTGTTGAACGCTCTCCCAGCACCAAATCTGCGTACTTTCCTGTGGGACGAAGAAGTGAGAATCGGTGTCGCCCTTCGATTTGGTCTACCCGTAGTCGAGGAACACGATTGCGTAAACTGCGGAAGCCGAGTGGAAACGAACGGTCACCATGGTCTGTCCTGTGCAAGCAGCAAAGGCAGATGGTCGCGGCACGTCGAGTTAAACAATGAGGTCAAGCGAGGACTAGAAATTGCGGGTTATCCTTGTCAAAGCGAACCGTTGGGATTGTCTGCACGTAACAACAAGCGGCCGGACGGCATGACGTTGATTCCGGTGCGCGATGGTAAGGCGCTTGTATGGGACGCGACATGCTGGGACACGGTGGCTGTATCTCATGTGCATGCTAGCTCGAAGAAAGCGCGGGAAGTGTAGCACAACTGGCAGAAACAAGCAAGCGCCGGACATACGATTTTATAGAAGATATGGGTTATCTGTTTTACCCGCTGGCAGTCGAGACGTTCGGGACTTTCGGAACGCCTTTCGCCGAGCTGATCCGTTTCGTCGGCAGAAAGATTCGTGAAGTTACCGGAGAACCTCGGTCTACCGCCTTTTTAAAACAACGTTTCAGTCTAGCGGTAGTCCGTGGAAATGCAGCGGCTGTTTTGGGTTCTCTTAACGCACGTCCCAAGATCATGCGTGACACTAACGATTTTGGATGTTTTTTTAATGTTTAAAAATTTGACGCTTTTAATTAGTGTAAACCTGCGCAGGCGATTTGTTATGTATGCTGGCCGAAGCCGAATTAAAATTAATAAACAGGATGCAAAAAGGGGTGCGTATTAAAAAACTGGGTGGGGATGCGTTCTTGTGACGGGTTACTTACAACTTTATACTTTAAATTATCGTAATTCGTAAGTATATCTATGTCAGCAAACTGTCGTCGTCGCAAATTCCAGGTCGTTTAATGTCATTTCAGTTCACATCGCTGTCATCCATAGATCGACGGAGGAAACAATCATATTAAATTTTTTAAAAGTTTTATGTGCATTTTTATATGGAACAAAACCGCAGAATTAGAAGCTGTTGCTACTGGTGTTATTGCAACAAACTCTTAGTCTAGCGACCCCCAGGCGGGCCACCTCCTTGGCTACCGTTTGGTGGTGGTGGATTGTTGCCATTGCCACCCGAACCACCGTTGCTCCCACTTGCGCCACCAGTCTGTGGAGGGCCGCCAGGGCTTCCACCTCCGCCACTGGAACCACCACTGGAATTACCACCAGTTGGTGGAGGGGGATTGTTACTGCTGCTACCGGAATTACCACCGTTGCCGGAATTACCAGAAGTTGGTGGAGGTGGATTGTTACTGCTGCTACCGGAATTACCACCGTTGCCGGAATTACCGGAAGTTGGTGGAGGTGGATTGCTACTGCTGCTACCGGAATTACCACCGTTGCCGGGATTACCACTAGTTGGTGGAGGTGGATTACTACCGCTGCTACCGGAATTACCAGTTTGTGGAGGTAGGTTGCTGCTACCGGAGTTGCCGCCAGTGCTGCCAGGCGGTGGCCCTTGGTTTCCATTTCCACCGCTCCCAGAGCCTCCACCGGCTTGATTGGTTGACATGGAGCCGTCTCTACCGGCACTGCTGGACTTTCGGCCGTGACTGTTGGAACTGCTCGGACGAGATGCAGATGACGACTGTCCAGAATTCTGGCGCTTGCGCACTTGATCCACCGGATTGGCGGACGCTAGCTGCAGCGCGCATAAGGTCACGGCCAGCAGCACAATGCTGATAGGTCGCATGGTGGCAGAGAAGTTAATGAAACCACTCTCTCAATACGACGGTTGGTGGCAACCGGAAACTGTTATCGCAGCTATGCTATCAAACCCCTTTTATACTGATCGTGAAATTCTGCATAGTACTTGGCTTTGGGCAAGGGCAGGCTGCGTGCCAAAATTTTGCATTGTTTACAATGACTGTTCATTTTAAAATTATGTATTTTAAATTAGATTCTCCGTAAACAACACTGGAGAACTAGAACAGGTGGTCGATTGACTGGACTACACCCGGTGACAGGCTAATTTCTTCGGATAATTCTCAAATGCTTTGGGCATCAGAAATCTGGTTTGCCAAATGAATACAATAGTCTCAAGCATAAGACGAAAATTAAAGCCAACGAGTGCTGAAACAATGCTGTCTGGCTGACACTTGATGGTGCTCATAATAACTTGAAAGTGTCCGATCACTAACGCGTCCTCCAATTTAACAAGCCCCGGGGGATCCAAATTATTTTCCTTTGCATCGCTGTCACGTGCCGCTGTTCTCTGTCCAGTGTGTTACGTATTATGCAACACCTGAGTACCAGTACCAAAGTAGACTACCACAAACATGAGAAGTTGACGCGCTGACGATAGCACTATATTTTCACATGATAGAAAATGTGCTGCTGTCACTTCATTTTTGTCCTCTTCATTTTGTGGAATCCGGGGTTTGTACAAGTTCATAACGTCACGGCAACTAGAAGTAACTGTTTAACTAGAAGTGATTAACTGTTTATGAACTGTGCTGTTGCCACTATTTGTGAAATAAAAACTGCTCATACTAGAAGCTTTATTTCGGGGTGGAATTCTGAATCGGAGAGAGGTCACCATACTTGATTTCGAGTAGCGTATACATACTGCGGCAGCAAGCATAGTAAACCACTTCTGCTTTAGTAAACCAGGAATATGCGGGAACGATACCACCCGTTGGACAGTGGTCATAAGATAGAGTATGGCGAGCACTGGTTCTGTCAATGCGCCATGTAAACTGACCGGGTTTACTAGCATTCTTGAAGCATTTGTATTCCAGCGATTTCTGTAGCTACCCTGAATGTACTGCACGTCAAATCGCATCTCCCGCCCGCCCTTCCCTTTTGTTTCTAGGGAGGGGGTTGTTACGGAAAGGGCTTATGGGATTCGCTGCGGCGCTGCGTCCGTGCGTCGGTCACCAACGCCTGAGCTACGCAATTTGGGCCAAAAAACCAATAAAGTTACTTCCGATCCGTGTCCGGCGCTGCCTTAATATGGAAAAACTTTTTCGGCATTTCAAAGTATCAGCACTGCAGTCTGTAACTCGCAGACCCCAGCATATGTAATTGGCAGTTGTAGATATTATTATGACTCCGGCGCATTTGACTGCGCATACAGTATGATGTGCTTCAGCATCTGTTTCTCACAATCAGAACTGCTGTTTTCGTCAAAGCGATTTACGTATAAAGATCAAGACAATGTCAATGCGTAGTTTTAATCACTTTTTCGAAGTCACGAGACATAGCCCGCCTGTGGTTCAATTAATTCCGGCTTTTGTAAAAGCTCTTTTAAGGCGGGATTTGGGCTTGGCCGAAATTTTTCTGCATGATTTCAGTAATAGTGTCTCACATTAAATGCAACGGTAAGTTATAGTGAGGCAAGCTTTAAGAACATGACGCCATAGGAACTGTGTGGAAGTGGACAAACGGTTACTGTAAGGTGTACATGATGCTAAACGTAATAATATTAATGCATAAAGATTGGTACAACGCTCCAGAACTCAGGGTGCACATACTGTACCTACACAACCGCAGTAAGCCTCTGCCCACACGAGCCCACCGAACCAACCTAATCCCATTAAGAAAATCATTAGGGCGTTGTAATTAAGTGTAGGAGTCAAAATCGGGCCGTCACTGTCCTGCTTCGAGGCGCTCCTAACCCACACCCAACCGGCGCTTACAGCCACCGTCACCACAAGATCAAGTAATTTAATTTAACACCTACGCTCATTATCTGCTCATCAGCAGCTGGGATGCGTTCATTGGCTTCATGCATACAACAATTCAGCGGCGTATTACAGCGAAAATCCGCGGTTACTTGGTAATCACAACACAACCCGTAATCTCTGGGTGAGTAAAATTAAAGGGCACGTTATGGCCACTGTTGTTGGGAGCGTACTTGCTCTGCGTTACACAGTGTATGATGGGATCCACTTCTTGCGTGATCAGTACCGCAGGAACAACGGACGCCTTCAATTATAATCATAAGCGAGTACCACATGTCCTGTTCTTAGTTGACGATACCGTGCAGGGCTGCCTGTAGTCGCGTCAATTAAGCGGCCCAACAACAACGTAATCTGCATGATGCAAATGTCACACAGTACACGTGTTATTTAAATACGTAGACCTAACCCATTCTCGGTCATTTCGGCCTCTTGCAAAAACTTGAAAAACATGGAGCGCCTTGTTTTGTTTTACGTGGCAATACTGCTGTACTGGCTGCTAGTAGCTGGATGTGGCCGTTTCAGGATGCAGGGCATTTATGCCTTCAGAGTGCCGGAACAGTCGCAAAATGCTGATGCCAAACGGATGCCATTGTTGACCACGCTGCCTATGATGCCTCCAATGATTCCTCCAACGCGCAGTGCCGCTAACACTGCAATAACTGATAAAGTAAGCCAGAAACGTCGTTTATACAGTTATTTTATACAGTTATTATATAACTGTTTAAATTGTACAGTATGGCTTTTCATAGAAGATGCATGTATTGATGTATATTGAACTTAATTCACTGATGATTAAACGCTTTTTACTGATGCGTTGAGTACGGTTTTTGTGTTCATTATTTGCTGGACAGCTGAAAAGTAATTAGAACCCGATAGTCAAATTCTGCAAATACCTGCAATTCTGTATGTCTAAGGCATCACGGCCTGGGTCAGTCAACCGTATTGAGCAAAGATGACCTTATCATCTCATATCATGAAACCGATTTGTTTTGTAAATGATGTGTTCAAGACATAGAAAGCACACCTGAGAAATTTTTGTGATCAGCGGTTCGTTGTATACGCCCTTCATTTTTTTGTGGATTTGGATTCTAGGCACCGCTGTCGGTCAACATCAGCGGTAAAGCGCAGTGTCTACGAGAGGGCGCGATCGGGCGTCTCATAGACCGCTTCCTGTACCATCGTCTGGTATGCTCGCAGAATGTCCTGACCCACGATGCGACCACTGCCGTCCGTCCACTGGGGGAAGCATTTTGGGAGGGATTGGTTAATCTGCTAGGTAAGACTGCATTGAAAATAACAGCACCAACTGCAATGAGGATACCTTTTATTTTTAATCATCCTTTGCTACACTTGCTACGTTCTTACCATGTTACGTCATGGTACCAGCGCTACCGTAGCTTATACGTAACGTGAAACTGGAGTCGCTTTGGCAGATACTCGCGTTTATGGAGTAGTTGTGCAGCGTGGATAATTAATATTAAATACAAAGAATGTATGAAATGTCAGTATATTGCACTCACTTCTCTAGAAGCGGAACTGCAAAAGATAATTCCGAAGGAAAAAGGAACGCCAGTGTTAGCATCGGGTGGCTCGTGCCGATGTGGCCGGCACAACTTCCTCAACAGTATCATTGTCGACGTCCGTCCACGGCCGCCCTCAACACGCTCCTACCTGTTTGACCATCTCCCTTAAGAACTGACAAGCATTGTGGACTTACCGCAATTTCTGTGCCCGTTCAAGCATCGGCGTACGGAAACAGCAAAATAAATTATAATTCGTAATTGAGTTCCAGGAGCGTCGGAACTGTTGGTAGTATGTTAATACGGGCGTGATCCGGACAACCGAATGTAAAGCTGTACACTGTCTGAATCTCACTGGTAGTTTGGAAATATTGCTTGGATTGTAAATTAATGATCTTCTAATGTTGTTTCATGTACAATAATCATCAAGGCACACACACTACTACAAATCTTCTGATTATGCCAATTGGTACGTTTATTTTTAAAAAAATTATCGTTGGTGTGACTTCTTAAATCAGTAATAGTTTACGGTCACGGACTGAAGATGACCTTATTGTGCAAATGCACGTGCAACTATAGTAGAAGCACATGCGATTTTAAACTTCTTTACGACTTATTTACGACCGGCGGTGATAGGGAACAGGGAGAAGTAAAAAACTCTAAGTAAACAAACTTTTGATAGGGAATAGGGAGACGTAAAAAAACCTATGTACACACACCTGTGCAAACACATTCCACATTTTATTGCCGTACATTCCGTACTTTACGAGCACGCTGACCGGTAATAAAATCTTTCTCGAGACACAGAACAGAGAGAAGGCACTGATGATCAGCCGATCTGATAAGCGCAGAACCAGGATGTGCTGCTGCTGCCAGTCTTAATTACTGTACAGATACACGTGCATTTGCCGATCTGCTCATTTGCATTTCACCACTCATCAGCGTTGGCATTTCTGATTTTCCGCAAATCTGCACACGGTCTGCTTTTTGGCCTGCATTTTAGCGAAGTCTGACCTCGCGATATTTCGTCGTGCTTTTTTTGTGTGGCTGTGATTTGGTTGTTTTTTTTTACCGTTCTCATTCTCGCCTGCAACATGGACACACCTGCAGCTGCATCTGACGGCCAGCGTCGATCCCCGCGTATACAGGAGATTGCTGCACGCGCATCACCGTCTGCACCATCGGCATCCACAACTGCGGCCACAGCACCATCAACTGCCGCACCTGCAAATGCTGAACCGCCGTCTTCCGCTTCTACGGGCAATGGTTCTCCAGCGTCTTCTGCTGCAGCACCTGTGGCCCCGCCGTCATCCTCAGCACCGATCGCTGGGACCAGTGGTGTACAGGTACACAAATTAAAAACTTTTATTTTTTTGTGGTTTTTGTACGTGCTGGCACATTTAGCCTTGTACTTTTATTTGGCAACAACCTGTACTCAATGGCAAGAAGCTTGCGCAAATTTAACTATTTAAAATTATTAAATTTAGCTGTGTATGATCAACAACTACGTTTCATACGTGCTATAATTATTTATTTCGTTATACATTTTGTTGCTTGGTTTAGAAGGCTCCATGGCGACGTCCCCCGCATGACCCACGGATCAAAAACCGTGTAAATGTGGGGAAGCGAATGCCTGTGGCACCCGTGGAGGATGATGAAGAGGAGGAGGAAGAAGACTCGGAAGAAGAAGACACCGAAGAAGAAGACGCGGGTGATTCTGACGATCCCAGCAAGTTCGCGTACTATGAAAAACAGGTAAGCAAAATTTGACGCCACATATAAATTTTGACGCCACATATAAATTTCCACACCGTATGTCAATTTGAGTGCTTGTTGTTTCTAGGTTGAAAAGCTGAAGAATCCCGCCAAGAGGGCTCGTACCAGCGGTCCTGGGGTGGAGCGTACTCGAGGCAAGCTCGCCACCGTGGTGTACGATGATTCCGTCGCCTACTTTGATCTGACCAAATCCGTCAAGATCATTGGTCCCAATGGACGAATTTTTGTTTCCGGCAGTTGGTACGGCCGGTTCTTGATGGAGCTGTGTGACTTGGGGGATCTTGATGCCAGTAAGATCCCGTTGGCTGCTCCCGACCATCCGGATCGCCTTCTGCCAAAGTGGCGTGAGGACGACGCGAGGAAGCGCGCTGCTCTTAAGCGAAAAATGGAACAAGTGCTGAAGGTTGGCGGCTATTCATGCGGCTACTGTTACCACGAGGCCACCGACAAATCCGCAGTCCACATCTTCTGTCATGAAACCATCTCCAAGGCCCGGCAGGAGTGCTTGCGCCATGTGAGAGGCCAACTGGGCAATGATCCACGCGATCCGTGCGACTACTTTGCTCGCGATGAACCTGACGCAGCTGCTAACCGGACGGAACCACAACGTCCTTATATTAAGTTCGCGCCGGGCGGACGCATTATTCTCCAGCACAATGGCAAGCATTACGGACGGATCAACCAGGAATGAAACGTTTTTCATGTCGTACTGCCTGTTTTGTTGTTTTCGCACTTGTTTGCTGCTATATGAAGTGTCTTTGCTAAATGCTTCCATATTTTTATGTATCATGGAATTGGTTTTTACAATTGTCATGCCACGTTTTATGCCGCAGTGTAAATTTTGAACAACGCATAAATTTCAACGTTCCATTTTCACACGTTTTTAAGTACATTTATATAAATCTGCAAGCGCATGTATTGCATTGCCTCATTTTACAAATGTTCACTTCATGGTATTTAAAAACGAAAAATGCGATGAACGAACAATAAATTAGTACTACCACTCGCACGGAAAATATTAAGTCAAATTTTTTCTGCTCACACACAAAGTTTCTGTCCACACATATCATTTATGTTCTCAAGTACAACCAGTTAAGGTGTGACATACGAACTCGTTAGCATTTGCTCTCTTTGCATTGGATGTCATAAAATTTACAAGGGGAAATTGACACTTGTGTTAGCTTTTGATCGGCTTTCACCACACGTGCACCACATCGCACCGTTGTTTGCTCTTGACCAGGCATGGCGCGTACGCAAAGCAAAGCGTAACCAATAAACTGATTCAAAATGCAATAAAATTTTCAAATTGCAATCTTGTAAGATGGTTGACCAGACGTGAGTTTGCCGACAAACGGCACACTTTCAGTTTAGATTTTCAAAGCCGTTGTAAGTTTTGAGTTTTTATCTGGACATGGATTCTCGTGCAACTTCCACGCCGAATACCGGCTGTACCAACGACATCGACGTGGACGATTTAAACCTAAGCGCTATTTTTGACCGAACATTTTTGTCAGCTATGGCCAAAGAAGCATGGCCGGAAATTACCAACACCGAAGTTGAAGCTGGTACGTGCATACTACATTAAAATTAGGTGAAACGAAAATTTATTTCGCTTATCTGGTAGCCATGGCCAATATTGACGGTACAAGTGGGCAACATCGCGGAAGCCGTGATTCAACGCCTTCGACAAACACTTCTGCGGGTACCAAATGTTTTCTGTCAAATTCATTTACACATTTATCAACCATGTACTGTTTTTAGAGAGCGAGAACACCCGACCGGAATTAAAAGCGGATGATAGCGATGTCATTCTCGTAGATGATCCGGTCCGGGAGCCATCCAACGGTCGAATTCCGGTCAACAGCCGTAAGTAAACTGACTTAATATTATTATATTTAGTATAAATTAGTACAGTATCGGTTTTTTAACGCAACGTACGACTTCTTATGCCGCATATAAATTTTGATATCACATAGAAAAAGTTTGACGCCGTTTTTGACGCCATCTATAATATGTTTATATGTATTCAGCGCAATGGGAAAATCCTGATCAAGCCGACGAGCACGATGATGATATTGTCATCGTTTCATCATCTCAGGCTAAGAAACGGAAGCCTCTTGTGCAGACGTATCTTGCTCCACCTGGCAACCGGAAGCAAGCGCCACCGGCGCCGTACAAAAAACGAAAGGCGATCCATGAGCGCTTTGCAAATATGCCAGCATCGCCCGTACAGTACGGAGCTGGACTTCCTCGAGGTGTGCTTAGCGCTCCCCCTGCTCCGCGGCCGTGGCCGCCTGTGGTTATACCCGGATTGAGGCGTCCACCGGTCATGCCGGGACCGCGCCCCAGCACTTCGCAGACCGCAGCAGCAGTTCCACGTGCCGAAATGACGATAAGGCCGAACGTGTCCCTCCAGCTAGTACGTCCGTGGGGAGTTCCAGGATATATCCCGGCTATGCCTGGATACTATCCCGGTATGCCAGGATTTGGACAACCATTTCCGCACTGGTATGAGCCGAATGCGTATCAGCGGGAGTACGACATGATGATGAACATCATGCACGGTTTTGGTATCGGGAATGCCAACAATGAGCACGGCTTCGGTTTGAACGGAAACGGAAACCACAACAACAATGGGCATCGCTTCGATAATAACGGGAACGACAATCATGGGCACGGAAGCGTCGTCAACGGAGATAATAATAATAATAATGGAACTCAGTAAGTTTCGGCGACGCTAATTATTTTGCCTCAGCGCTGTTATTATCTATGCGATATAATTATGTTTAGTTGCTTGTTATCGTTTTATTTATACTGACCGTACGATATTATGATCTAGCCGCTAAAATTAATTCTGTGGTTTATGTGAAACTGTATAAACATATTGATGCTGGATATTTGATTTTTTATGCATGTTTCACTGCTCAATGTTAACCTGCTTATGATCTGTATTCAGCGTGTGTTTCAGAACTGTGTGCTGTTTCTGTTTATCATTAATTGTGTTATTATTCTCATATGTTGAATATTGATATTTGGCTCGATGCATGTATATGCATGATACATATGCTGGACATTATATTTATGCCTCAAGATAAAATTAAATAAAACTGTACTGTTTGGAGATCTGTAACTGTATGCATATCACGCTAGCACAAACAGCAACAACAGCGCAATAAAATCTTAGTTTATTTTAGAAACAGAAAACTGTACCAAATCAACCAAAACACACGGCGCATTACGACTGCAGACAACTTTCGCACCACGGAAGACAGTTTTACCCTCATATTTCGGCTCAATCCTCAACCAATGTCTCTGATGGCGGTGTCGGCGGAAGTACGTGAACTCTTCAGTCAACTTCTGGAGGAGCTTTTAGCTTACCATCAAGCGAATGGCAGTGACAGAGTGCGCCTCGTTTTTTGAGCATCCCGAACTAGCGAATCGTGCATTCTCAACGCCGGTGATGCCGGTGAGTCAACTAACTCCTGATTTTATCATCCAACTAAGTGTCCGCATTATGCAAAATGGTGCAAATTTTTA